CAGCTGACTTCTGTGTAGTGTTTTTTTTTTTTTGTGGGGGGGGGGGGGGTGTTAGGGGTTTTTTTTGTTTTGTTTTTCTTTTCCTGCTCTTTCACAGTGACTACGTTAAAAATTATAGGTATCCCATCTGGAGCAGGCGGGGAACTCAAAGCCAAGAAGTGAAAGTGAACCTTAATAACTGAATAAATTACTGTGTACAAATATTGACTAAACACCCACAATGCATACATGAAGACTTAAAAAAAGAAACCTACCTCTTTATGCGTAGTACCTAGTTCTTCTTCCAATAAGCTACATCTTTCAAGTGCTACTCGTAACCTCTCCCTTACCTGAAAGAGTAATTTCAAATAATTTGAAATAATTCAAATTAAAAAGAAATCAATTTCACTTATTGCCATGCTGCCATGCCCTTTCAGATAATAAATGTCACTACTTCCATTACACTTAGAAACCTCCTTAATCTTGAGTCAGTACTAATTACAACATATGCTACAAAAAACCTTCTAGAGAAACAATGCGTATCTTAAAATCTAGCTTTTCCTTTTTTGTCATAAGCAAATCAGATCTCAACATGACCTGTACATTTAGGCAAGAATTAAACATATCCAGAATTTGCTTATCCTTTTGTAAGGCACAAAGTGTGTATGCTTTTGCTTATTTACAACACGGAAGAAGAGACAGAATTCTGCTTAAAATAATTTGCCAGGCTTTATATACAAGGGTCACAAAAGTTAGGCAAACTATGAGCTGGCAGCAAAATTCACAGTAAACTTTACTGTGAATAATATTTGCATATCCTGCTGCCAACATCAGGCACAACTACAGGGCGGAGTTCCTTTAATTCAGCTTTATTTGATACTACAGTGTAAGCAGATTCCTCTCCTCCTGTTCTCTCTACTCCATTTCTTGTATTACATAATCAGAAGGCTAAATCCTGATATTATACAGGTAAGCAAATGTATGCATTCCTACAACAAATATATTGCCCCTGAACTACACTTAGTTGACATTAGCACAGTTAATGAAGTACTAGAATAACCTACAGCACCTTGCTTTAGTGCAACTATTAATTTAGGAGGGCAGTTACGCCAAAGCTACTATCTTAATACAGAGAAAAGTTCTGAGAACCTGACTTCTACAACTTTAGTATGAACAACTGCATGGTCCAGACAGAAGAAAGAGGGGACAGGATGAGAAGATGTTAGCTACCATATTTCATTACCTTTTCATCAAGGGCTTTATGGTGTTCAAATAAAGATTTTAGTGCTTTGAGAACTTCTACTTCACTAGAAACTCCTGCTGGAGACTGAGCTTGTCTCTTTACAACAGTCATTCTGAGAGATCGCTCATGCCTGGAGACAAGACACTCTAAGTGTTCCAGTAATAGCTAAAACAACAACAAAAAAAAAGGAACAATGTTTATTCCTGTTCTGCATAATTGTCTCCTAAAACATCAAGTTTTGAGTTCTAAACTTCAAATCTGAGAGCCAAAGACTACTGCATCCAGCATAAGGACCTGTTTTTAACATTTCACCAGTGTTAAAAGTCATATCAGAGCTAACACGTTTCCTACTTCTCTCTTTCAGTCCAGTTTTTAATGAGGTTTCTACTCAACCAGGTCTTTTCAGTTCCACCACCAATCTGAGGAACTGCATGCTTGTCAGAAGGATACACATAGGAAATGCTCTACATCGGAGAGCAACTGTTCTGCTGGCAGCAGTGCAAGCTGCTGGAACAGATCGCTACAGTTTGCCCGCTCAATTCCTCTGATCTCGGGTGTTGTACTATTACAAAACTTTAACAAGAAAGCTGAATGACAGATAACAGTGCAGTCTTACAAGCTTTTCCTGATTCTGCACAGCAGTACTTGGAGCTGTGCATAAGCTTCCAAACTTTCTTAATCAACACACATTCGCACTTCCAGGGGGATTCATGTGCAAATATCAGGGAAAAAATACTTTTAGCTTTTCAAATTCAGCATTCAGTGCTTTTCTCCATGTAGCTGGATGCTTTAACAACGGTAATCTTGGAGAAGGCAAGGAACTAACCCTCGTATTATTTCTTTCTGCTTTCAGTTCAGCGATTTCTTCTTCCCTTTCAAGCAGCTGCTCCCTGCATACATTTAGCTCTTTCGTAAGCGCTGCAAATTCCTGAAATAAACCAGGCAGAAATATAAGCACATCAAATATCAGGATACAGTGAGAGCAGATTCATATGAACACTTGACATTATTTCTTGAAGTATTCGTTTCAGATGTCTAAAGCCAATACAGTTGTATTAGTCATGCTAAGCAGGCTTAAGTTCAAACACTTAAAACCGTTACACTGTCAAATGTAAAGATAAAAGATGTTTGACCAGTACTTTTGAGAACTCGTTTGTCTCTCAAGGCACTTATCTGCATTGGGGTATCCCTGGTAAGCAAAGGGAAAAAACTTATTTGTAATGCACTTTGTTGGTTTTTTGGGGGTTGTTTGTTTTTTTGGGTTTTTTTTATGACTGCTGAGGGAGACATGAAAAAAACAGAGCACTAAGCAAAAACAGAACCCAGCAAAACATGGCAAATTTCAAGGCAGTATTTAATTTCATCTAATTGTGAGAGACAATGCATAACCCTAGCATCTACCAGAACACATAGGTTACTACTTCATAGTAATAGAGCATCCCTGAAGCTTCACCACTGGAGGACTCGGACCTTTATAGGTATTTATCCACTTAAGCTACATACAGGGATTTCATTTTACCTACTTCCAAATCTCACACAACGGAACTTAAACAATCCTTTCCCTTAGAAGCCAAGCCCTTGGGCTCAAAGCCCTCAGAAGGCTTCCCCTTCAAATTCAATAAAGCTTTCACCAAACAAAACTGAACCAAAGTGAAATACTACATAGAGGGAAAAGTCATCAGGGAACAGGAATTAAGCTAACTCACAGCAGTTATGGCATGTTTATTTGAACATTTCTGAACATTGCGATTAGTCAAATTCAAAGAATATATTTATAAATTTTTGCATTTCTGTCAGGAAGACAGAACTGTACTGAGCATCTGAAAGAGCCACTACATCCTAAACTACTTCCACTCTCTCAACAGCCTCACTAAAAATACCCAATATAAAAAGCATTTAAACTTTCCACCAACTCAGTGAGCATGCTCTGGAGAGAATAAAAGATACAACTATACACCACATTTATAAGGAAGTACTGAGCCTAACCTTATCTACCTCCCTACTCTGGTAAAATTTAAGTTGTAAGAATTTCTAACGTGGTTCAGATTATTAACAGTAAGCATGAATGTGAACAAGTCCGTGCTTTAGAAAGAAGGCTTTGTAAGAAACAGGAAAAAAACCTCTTGTGTCATCAATGCAACTTAGGATGCGAAAACAGATACGCATCGGCCACTCCAACGGCCAGTGAACACTTCAGAAGCACTTGTATAAGAAACCATTGAAACACTAGTAAATAAATTAGTCCTCCCTATTGTCTAAAATGAGGAAAACACTAATAAACAAGAGTCATGTCTAATAAACAGTAGATTAGTACAGCTGAACTGGCAATGATCAAGACAAGATGAACAAGACAAATGGCGAACTAAGAACAACATACTGGGGAAATACACTGTGTTTTCAAGTAAAAATCCCTGGAAATACACTTATTAAAACAACCTGGTCTATAAATACAGCTACTGGAACTTTTAAACTCACAAAACAAACTACAAAACATTCCTGAGTGCAAGGAAAACCAAGAAAGGAAAAAACCTACTTCCAGCTTCACAGAAGCTGCCGGAAAAATTGATTCTACTATGAGCTTTCCCTGCAGAACACTCCTTTGTTTCCAAACTTTTCCTGTACTTTCAATATCCCACCTGTGGGAGCTTCCAAGGCTCCCAGGCAACTGATGACACACATCCCTTTTGCTCCCATACAAGCTTAGGTAAACCAGAACACATTTCCAAAGCTGCAGTTCTTCACAGGCCTTCCCTATCTATCTTTATGTATTTGATAATTAAGTACTACTGAAACTAGTAGAAGTACTAATAGACTCACAGTCTGTTATAATATATAATAATCTATAATAGTATTCACAGAAGAGCTTGACATGAACTTATTCTCTTGGTGGTGTTTTTGCCCTTTTCAAAATAATTAAAACAAACCTCAAAATGCCACCATCAAAATTTACAAGCATCGACATCACACAATTCTCCAAGGGACATCGGGCTGACATGGAACATTCTATATTTTTCCAGTCTCTACCTCAAGACTTGAGAACAGGATAAAGAAAGCAGTAAAAACCACCAGACACTGTTTCGTCATCCTTTCTCAACTTAAAATCACTGTATAGCACTAATATACTTTTTTCTTATCTAAGACATGTATGAGCTTCATCTTCTGAAAAACAGCTGTATATTTGAAAGGAAGTCTATTCGCTCTTCAAGTGATTATAGTACATACAGTTCTATTCCACTGCATACTTCCATGTAAATATAAATTGTAGCACAAATATATCATAATTATGACACGAACCATCACACCGTCAGATGACCCAAAAAAGAACAATGCACACAGGAATTTATATTGCTGCTGCATAAACAGACTGACACATATTTCTGGCATTGCGTAATACCTCCATTGCTGTTTGCTTTGACAAAATATAGTTGCTTTGAGTCCCTTAAGCTGCCTAATAAAAAACACTTGAATGTCTTTAGTTTCAGTTGACACTGCCAAAAGACATGTCCTTTCTAGTTTTAATACTTACCTTCAACAGTAGACAATTTGTGATTTCCTCAAGCAGTTCAAAAGAAGAGAAACTACTTGCAACTTTATCATCTCAAAAAAGTTTGAGTTGTCTCATAATTTCTTCTTTGGCATTAGATGAATATACAGAAAGAATTAAAGGAAAAAGAAAAATCCTGAGAAACTTTTCTACTTATCCACAAAGCTGTATTACTTTTCTGTAATTAAGGAGAAGATTGAGAACATCAGATCCAAGTTCTGCTCTGCTTCTGGTTGCCATCAAAATAATAAATACCCGGCTCTGAGGACTGACAAGAATGGGACTCAGAATAAGCACTTCAGAGCACTTACAAGAATCAGTCGGAGAGGGCTGAATATACTAGGTAAATATTCATTAGAACATACTGACAAACACTTGTACTCTATACTAAATTGAAATGTTTACTGAAGAAAGTAACTTTCTGAACCAACTGAATGTTCCAAATATGACACTCTTGCTGCCAGAAATAAATACTCTCAAGAAAAAGCTAAATTAAGAGAAAACAAGTTTGTTGTTGTTCAGTAATACACTTTCTGGGGTTTTTTTTGTCCACAAACTCCATGATTTTTTTAAAGCAATAGTGTTTCTTCTACATCAACCTTGAGAACTGACCTTCAACCTTTAGTATTTTAGAGGGCACAACATAAACATCCTTCCAAAAGTTAGATCAACTAGTGCCTAGCTGTCAAGCCCGTACATTTCTGATGTCTGAGGTGACAGCCACTTGGTTACTTGCAAAATCTCGGTTCAGGAATATTACAGCTTTCAGGGAACGGTTCTCTTCATAGAATCATAGAATCATTAAGGTTGGAAAAGACCCTTAAGATCGAGTCCAACCGTTAACCCAGCACTGCCAAGCCCACCACTAAACCATGTCCTCAAGCACCACATCTACCCGTCCTTTAAATACCTACAGGGCTGGCGG